CACGAAACTGTCAAGTTTCAGTGCTGCGTGACGCCATGACTGATGCAAAATCACGCAGAACGACAACGGTAATAATCGGCATTTCTGGCTTCTTCTCTTTCTTAAAATGGGAGTGTATTTGGCAATTTCTCTGAGGTGAAGGTCGGTAGAATAAGAGTATACACAATCACCATATCCCGCCGATTACACTTTCAGTATCATAATGTAATCGTTCGGATATTTTTTCATGAAACTAATTTAATTATCTACATGTAGCCTTGTTCAATATCATATCATACGAGGGTATATAGGGTGTACGTGTTATATTCTTTGAAAGTGTTTGTTTGAATAATATTTACAGAAGAAATTCACACATTTAGTGTAGTAAAGCATATATAAACCTTTCCACAAGTGTTAAAAGATGAAATGTAGGCATCATGTACTTGTGCAACATGTTTTTAAGTTCCTAGATACAGTTTCGTATGTAACTCTTCGGCAGAATAATTTCCAATATCGAAGTCCAGTCCACGATACACCCTATCCTTTCTTTGCTGAACTGGCATCATGAAAGCAGTGTTAGCCATGAACGCCATTTGCGAGTTAACCACACTGTTAAAAAGTTAGAGGCGGTCCTTAGGTGTGTTAACTTAACGTCACGTGAACAGCCTGTTAAAAGTTAACAGAGTTTTGAACATCAAGATAACCCTCTGTTATTAGGTAACAGTCGGTTAAATGTACTTAACGGCTGGTTAAAAGATAACCGAGTTTTGAACAACCGGGCCCTGATAGACGACAGTGTGTCTCTGTTAATGGAACATTATGAAAAACTAAATGTTACTGCAGGGGTTCCTCAAGGATCTGTCCTTGGTTAATTTGTGTTCCTTGTATATATCAATGATTTACCAGGAAATTTACAAAATATCACAATAATGTTGGCCGATGACACATCAATCGGTGTTGCGGGAAAATATGTAAAATCCATAGAAGCAACTCTCAACTATGATTTAGCCTAATTGAATAAATGGGCAGAAAAGTGGTGTGGTGTGTTCTAACGGTTATATCTAGCATACTTTAAGTCAAAGAGGGGGTGGTGGTGGTTCTAACGGTTATATATCAAATACATGTAGAGGCGGGAGGCCTAACGGGTATGAACAACAATACAAACTTTCATGCATTTATGACCCACATTTTCGAACCTTTTATCAGTCTCTAAAAGGGAGCTGACAATAGATTTTAATGAGCTTCGTCCTTCAAGCCTGAAAACCTTTTAATATGGTTGATTAATCCTTTGTCATTTATCAAAAAATGTAGTGAGGTTGTGCTTTATTGTTATAGATTTCCAAAATATATGTCGACACTATTGGGACGTTGGTAACTGTCATCACACAATATTTGACGACATTTCTCATGGTTTGAATATAGCCGACTTTATAGAAGATAAATATCAGTTTACAACACAACTGCCTAAATCTTGGTATTTTCGGAACCAGAGAAGGGATATGTCGATATTTAGGTCGTTAACCTAGCATATTATGGTCACGAATATAATTTCTATTTATTACCGAAGTCTTTAATTGAGGAAATTACGCGATAGTCTACTTTCCAACAAAGGCAGGCTGCCCGTCATCGTTGTATTTAGAAGGCGGCTTCTTAGAAGCAACGTGACGTCATAACATTGTTCAGGATGTCATGTCACCATGACAAAGTGATATTTTACCCGGTGCATATCGCATGAAAACAAATTATCTCCGATGTGTTTGCCCTCGTAAGTTATAAGCATTGCTATGATCATTCTTTAAGGTTAATGCCACCCGTTGAATTCTTTGTTGTATTTTGAGCGGTGAAACTAAATAAATGATTTCTTTAGTCTACCCATAACAATTAGGGTGTCAACTTCCACTGTATACCTTACAGAAAGAAGTTTTGACTTTACTTTGATAACGAGCACATCTGATGAGATTCCTTGAAGCAAATGATGCAATTCAATATCATTTCTACATTTTATTTTAAATGCATCAATCAAATACAACAAATGAGTCTAGACAGATTGACTGCTATGTGGCAAGGAATAACCAGGCGCCAGCGATTTATGATATCCTAAGCAAATGTAACTTAAAATTCCCTCTCATAAAAATACAATAATATGTAGTAATATGATGAAGAAAATAATACGAAACAGGTTAAACTATGACAACGCAATATATGAATGTATGATCGAAACATAAATCATAATAAATCACATATGATTCAAACATTAAATTAACTTCAAATATGTCATTGCGTCAACATTGAAAATAATTCGAAAATGAAGAAAAAGAAACGTACATTTCAAAGCGTAAACAAACAATTTCCTGTTATTTTGGATATGCTATGAAGAGCTTCAAAATGTAATAGAAATAACATTAAATTATTGAAAGCTATTACTCGTAAAATATGTCCTTGCGTCAACATCGAAAATAACTCCATAATGAAAAACAATTAACTTTAATTTTCGAAACATACACAAATAATCTCTGGCTTTTTTAAGACGTGTCACGAATAATTTCACAGCTGGTAGAATTAACATGAAATTATAGAAACCATATGCTAACAAAAATGTGAAAATTAGTAATGACAAAGCGTTTGTCACAAACATAGCTATTACCCCCGTCACATGTCGATATCTGAATGTCGCAATTATCCCTGTCTGACCCTGAAAATTATGTAAACGTTACCGAAACTGTCATCTGATGACTTGATACAAAATGCGAACAAATTCCATCCAATAGGTTTGGAGATATCGCAAGAATACTAGCTGTGACCTTGAAAATAATCCGAAGGTCACTGATTTCGACTGGCGTTAGACGATACTCCCAACGTATGTTGGTACTACTTTTAAGCAAAACATATGAATTCTGTCTTGTATTTTCGCACTAAAAAGTTAAACATGTGCAAAACACTTTTCACTGTGAACTTAAAATGAGCACAAGTTTCCCAATCAATTGGTGTTGGGGGAATCCCGCCAATACACCTTGATATAAAATTGGATCAAAATCTATTAATACTTTCCTAAGTTCGCGGCTACAAAGCTTGGCATGTGCAAAACTGTTACACCTTCGCTGTGACCTTTAAAATGACCTCAAGGTCACTAAATTCAAGTGGTGTCGGTAAATCTCAAATCTCCAGTCAATAAATCTTGGTACCAAATTTGAACAAAATCCATTATTTCTTTCTCGAGTTCTTTCAGTAAACAGAATGGGGAGTCATTTGAACAAGCGATTGTAGTTTTGAAATTGCTTTTTTGTGCAGTTTAATATCTAAGTTTGATTCTAGCCGACTTCTACCAATCTCAAACATAGCATATTTTGTTTCCTGAAGTTTGTGATGCATTTTATTGCAGATTTTACGTTTTTGGGGAGTACCAAGCCAAGATACAAAGTCTCACAAAATGGGGATCGTGAGGCTGCAACATAGCAAAACCAATTTGCTTGAGGCTGACAGATAATATGTAGAAAAATAAAACATAAAAACAGCTGCATTTGTATCATATTCTAGGTGAGGCTGACTGAGGCTGGCTGATTTGAACGTCCCTCGTAGTTATACCCGTTAGAAACCCACCCCTACCCCACCCCCACTTTATATGTATACATATCAAAACCTCAAAAGATATTTGCGAAAAGACATGATACAGAGGACAGTTTATATCGATTATATATCAGGACGAATATCATTTTCGTCATTTAGCTAAGATTTGTCAATTCATTCTTGGGTTATCGCGCTAACAATCTTTATATTGGCAAAACCCTCAGATGTTTGCTGCGACCTTGAAAATTATCTCAAGGTCACTCCATTTCACTTGTGTCGGTGAATCTCGCAAATATACCTTGGTACCAAATTTGAACAAAATCCATCATACTTTCTTGAGTTATCGCCCTAACAAGTTTATTTGATGTATGAAATGCAACGAAAAACACCCGCGTATTTACGAGAGATTAAAACTGTTATTACAATTTACGTAAATATTTATTACATTTTACCGCAACGAAAATTATTACACTTTACGTCAATTTTTATTACAATTTGCGTATTGCAATTTACGTCAATTTTTATTACAATTTACGTTTTTATTACAATTTACGTCAAGTTTATTACAATTTGCTGCAAGTATTACAATTTGCGTTTTTATTACAATTTACGTCGTAACACGCCTCAAAAGCAAAACCTGGGGTCGGGCTTGGGGATAGAGATATCAGCTAAGATAAGATAATCCTTTAGGGCAATTATACTGGGGAGGTACACGGCACGTCATAACAATTTACAAATAATATCCAGTCCTGTCGATCTTCGGGTGGTCATGCCACCTATATACTACGATGCTTTTCTATGGTTTTCGGGTATCATACTCTCTTACATATCTCAACATAAACTTTATGAAAGACACGTAAGATGTTAATCAGTAGATGAGACAACACACATGAAAAAGCACAAAATATCTTTGAGATGACCCCTTGTGCGTGACGGTCCGTCGTCATACCTGGCTGAGCGACCTAATTGCCATCTATGGTCTGATCTATTGTTTTCAGCAGCTATTGGTATTTTTTCTAAGTTTTGCCCGATTTTACGAGTAAGCATGCTTTTCTGGATATCGTATTACGCATCCTACTGAAGTGGGTTATTTCGACATATGCTGTTTGCATTTGTGTCAATTTTAGGGATACAGAGTAACAGCCTAAAACAGTTTTTGTCTATTTCCGACAGTACTTTTTTCTTATAGGTACCTTATACAACAAACAACACCACAGGATATGATGTGTTCCCAAGAAGAAGACCAATAATAATCTAAATTCACATTTCCACTGAATGCAAACCATGACACAATGACGTTCCTGATTTCCTGAAAATGGGTAAAGTCAAAGAGTGCAATTTCGGATTGGAAAATATAATTTAGCTGCATTTTAGGTTCTGTTAACTAATGTATGCCACCTAAAGAGTGCCAATTGAACAGTAGGAACCGATTACATGTATGTCCATCACATTTCCAGCTGGTTGGTGTAACATCGCAGTGAACAAGCCAACTTACAGCAGCACCGACTATGACGGAAAATCATCTTCCTCCCACGCCGTAGACGGTAACCTCGACGCTGTGCGCAGTCATAGCAGCTGCTTCACAAGCTCTGCGGCATCGCCATGGTGGATGGTAGACCTCCAGGGGAACTACAGAATAACAGGCGTCACCATACAGCGACGAAGCGATGGATATCGTAGGTTCAATATACAGCTGTGTGATAAGAGATAATTTCAGTTACTTAACGTCACGTACAACTCAGCCATTGACTGTTTTAGTAAAACCCACAAGCATGCTGCAGGCAAACCAAGGAAAAATGAAATAAACATCAACAAATCAAAAGAAAACCCCTCACTTAATAAACGCACTTGGTGTGTCATCACCACACCTGTAATTGTGTCTTTTCAGTGACGTCACTTTCCACGACCTGCCGTTATATACTCCCCATCAAAAGTTTAGACTCACTAGTGTAAATGTAGCCATTTACTTAAGTCAACTGTTCTAAAATAAATTTTGCACAAGTTTCCATACTGTTTAAAGGTACTGTTTACACATGAACTGATGTATTGCAAAACACGTTTGTAACGGTGAAAAGATTATTGTCATGAGTTCAATAAATGATGAAACTCAGTGAAAATTGGCGAATTCTTAACAAAACTTTACACCAAAACGCGGCTGTTCACATGCATGATATTTGCACATGTTTTACAGCAATTTGATGTATTATCCTCGTGCAATTCATCTGCATAAGGTTTTCAGTTGGTTCCCCCTAGTTAGTGTAAAAATTCATCTTCGATGTAACCACATATATATATACATAACATGTAGTGAGTACTTTAAGTGAGTCTAAACTTTTGATGGGTAGTATATAATGTGAAACAGTGTTCAAGGCGGCGTTAAACCCAAACTCACATCAATATTGATAGTATTACACTAGATAATTGAGACTGGTCTTTCATTCGTCTATTCTATACATTTCGCCGGGTACAAAAAAATATCATCCTTTGAGTTCGAGATTTCAAATGTAACGTTTGTGTTTTTCGAAAAACTGTTTCGAAGATCTTACGTTTATAAACTGAAGGGTTAATGAAAACAGTTTTTCTGACTATATCACTAGGGTAATACCATCGCGAAACTACTATACACATATTAAATACCTGTTATTCTGAGTTCGAGTCCCAAAATTTATCGCCACCATACCCGTGCCACCATCATTTTCAGCCGCCATCAAACAAACAATTGCACGACAGTTTACATGATGCCCATGCTTTCATTACACTGACTGAGTTAGAGAACAATGAACCGTGCTGTTTTTCAACCATTGTACATTTGTGTTCAAACCATTACCGTATAGTTAATGAGTTAATATAATTTTACAGCCCCTTTAGAAATATTCTCCAATATGACGACGTGAGACACCTGCTATCCCACATTCTATCCATACATACGTGGAGGAACTCTGTTACCACCAAATTACCACCCGTGAAGATCTGGGTTAGATTTGTTCTACGCTTGTCGTAAGAGGCAACTAACGGCTGCTCACTTGGTTGACGCATAGTAGGCTCATGATCGTCAGATCCAGATTCTATTATTTACAGGCCACCCTCAAATAGCTGAATACTGCTGAGTGCGGCTTTAAACAACAATCTAAAGTAATAGCACACTACTAACTGACTGACTGAGTTTGGTTTTACGCCGCTTTTAGCAATATTCCAGCAACTTCACGGCGGGGGACACCAGAAATGGGCTTCACACATTGTGCCCATGTGGGGATTCGAACCCGGGTCTTCACCGTGACGAGCCAACGCTTTAACCACTAGGCTACCCCAGGCTACCCCACCGCCCCAACAGCACGCTAACTGATAAGGGTCGACAATACAGCTCTGTTCTCTTGATGTGACATGTATGCGTACAGGAAATATAAAATATACCACGACATTGACGGATAATTTGATTGGTAAATTTTACTAATGTATATTGGTTAATCATCGATAATCCCTTCTCATTTTAGAGCTACTTCATATCGCGTAGGAATACTTTGCACGCGTTGACCCCTGCATGATCGTTCTGTGTGGATTATCGATAGATAATCAGTCAACGAAATAAATCGCAATTTTTACATAGACGGAAATATTGAATAAGAATTGTTTTTCCTGAAGCGATGAAGTGTATTCCCACGGTGTTTTTACTTTTTACAATGTCGATTGCGAAAATAGTTTTAGATTCTCTGTTGCTCAGGTCAGAGGTGCATGTAACAAACAAAACGCTGACAAAGAGGTATATGTGGTCACTGGCATCAAGGTGTATAGAGTCACTCGCGGGGTCTTAACGTGATATTCTAAAGATTTGCAATACGGTTTTAAAAGATACTCTTAATTTTGTATTTGAGTTTTAAACATTACAAAAATTACCATTTGGGTGATTATATAAGTACCAAGTTCTATGTTTGTATCTATACATATATATATCTTTGAATGACCATGTCAGTATATGTTCATGGTGTTCTACCTTCAGACCATGCATAGCCCAAGCCCAGTTCATTTAGACTTTACTTCACATATGGGTCTCAGTTTATCCTGCCGCTTTACAAAAGCATCATGTCACAACGTTCCATTATTGGATATCTTTATATGTAATAATTTTACCCAGTACTTTAACCTATGCGTATACAAATGAAGGAAATCTCTACCCAATTCGGCGAATTGAGATTTATTTTGTATCGAAGAGCTTACAATTAAGTCAGCGCTTAAATCACATGTTTATGAGATTGTTTAGAATGACTGACTGAGTTTTGGTTTTACGCCGCTTTTAGCAATATTCCAGCAACATCACGGCGGGGACACCAGAAACGGGCTTCACACATTGTACCCATGTGGGGATTCGAACCCGGGTCTTCGGCGTGACGAGCCAACGCTTTAACCACTAGGCTACCCCACCGCCCCAGATTGTTTAGAATGCCAAAGAAAATCTTCTTTGCCTGGATGGCACTTTGTGTTGAGTGGAAATTGCATGGCAGTTTAATAGACAAAGAGATATGTATTTAGTAACAACATCCAATGTTTTGCATTATATAACCATTTTTCCGTTTTGATAGTTTAGTCCCGTGTTGGAAAACAATTACCTTATTTTAACCGTTAGACATAACGTTTCACTTTTTTGTGCCGGTTATGTACAATACCCTGTGTTTCTGTCACAACAATAAGCCCTGATGCTGTTCGGTCTCAGCAGCCATATGTAACGATTTGAAATGAAATTACTTTGTTTACATACCATAGCAGTACATGGCACGACCGATTAAATACGGTAGAATTGGGTTCTCTTTAGCTTATTCATATACCGCCCAAAAAGCTATGTTGTCAAACGTGTCTGTCATTTCTGTTTCCATCAGAATATCGTCTCAGAGACCTTGCTATCGTGGCGTTCAGAGAAGACCCCCAACAGAATCCTTCAGCGGACATCATACCCTGCACGGAGAAGACGGGAACCCTAGGGGCCATGGACACTCTGCCCTGTGATCAGCCAATAGTTGCCAGATTCGTCAAGATCCACTATTTACCAATTTTCACGGAAATTCTCACGTTGTGCGAAGTTCAGATCAGCGGGGATGTCTGTAGCAGAGGTGAGCTGGTGTTGTTTTAAGCCGCAGCCGGGTCGGCTTCAGTTGTGTGGTCTGACAACAAATCACTGATGGACAGATGAACAAAACGCAAAAGCCCGACACTGAACTGAACCAGTGTGCAGATATAAATAGCTTCGAAGTACACCAAACACTTCGCCTGAAATGGTATATTTGTCAAAAGTCAAACCCGTAAACACAAATTGAATTGGTTTGATTTTCCTTCAGCAGAACCCGTGAAGGTCCGGGTTAGAATATTGATCTTCACTAACCCATGCTTGTCGTAAAAGGCGACTAATGGGATCGGGTGGTCAGGCTGCTGTTGATCACTGTATTGTCTGGTTCAGATTGGATTATTTACAGACCGCTGCCATATAGCTGGAATATTGCTGAGTTCGGCGTAAAACTAAACTCACTCACTCATTCGTTCAGCGGATGTATTGTAAGATTGGAACAAAATCCTTGTCAGTGAAACCGGCTTGTTTGTCAATACACTATCATCCTAAAAGTGAGTAAAAGCATAATCAGTCTTAGTGTACTGGGATATTTCATTCCTTATTTCGGGTCATAGAAACCGCATGCCGACTTATGCCATAGAAGCCGCATGCTAAACAAACTATAGTGGTAAATATACAAACTATTCGACCATTTGCAGTGGGCGTCTTCTTTATGAATTTTCCTTTTACAGATACCACAAAATGCTTCAGCACATCTGTGGACATCGTCAACGGGATGTACTTAGTTGTCGACTCAACCGACAAGAGAATCGTCAATGATTCAACTCTTAGCTACTGTAGCAACAAGTGCTATCGTGAAAAAAACTGCTATGGATTTAACTACAATCTTGCCTCAAAGACTTGTGAACTCGCGTTGAAAACCCCAACACAAATTGTGTCGGATGCTGGCTTCGTGTACAGTGTCATGCCGTCATGTTTCCTGTATTGCAATGGCCATTCCGTGAACATCTGCTAAAGGAGTGTATATAGTTTAACATCGCCTTGCACAGTATTTCAGTTCTATCACGGCTGCTTGATGTGGGAGGACAGGTGATGATGGAGGTGTGATCTTGTGGTTGAAGTGATGCAAGGTGTTATATCTTTACCATCTTGATGAAACCAGCGAATGCGTGAGTCTGATTTTACACCGTTTTAGCAATATTCCAGCAATGTCACGGAGGTGAATACCAGAAATTAGCTTCACACATTGTACCCATGTGGGGGATAGAACCGGGGTCTTTGGCTTGACGAACGAACGCTTAATAACCCCAAGAGAACTCCACCGCCCTCTAAACTTTCGGCGGGCACATGTATGGTGATCAGGAGTGAGTTTAGGTTTACGCCGCACTCAGCAATATTCCAGCTGTATGGCGGCGGTGTGTAAATAATCGAGTCTGGACCAAACAATCCAGTGATCAACAGCATGAGCATCGATCTCCGCAATTGGGAACCCATGACGTGTGTCAACCAAGTCAATGAGCCTGACCACCCGACCCGTTAGTCGCCTCTTACCACAAGCACGGGTTACTGAAGGTCAATTCTAACCCGGATCTTCACAGGTCGTATGGTGCTAAGAACATTATCCGATAATCAATGTGACAACCCAGGGCCATAACGTCTCATAAAGGGACGAGAATCTGCACGGCAAAATACGTTATTTTGGACGCTTGGCTTACTTGGACTTTCTCTGTTATAGCCTAATTATAGGAAGCATCATAGCATGTGTCAAACAGTACACGGTTGCTGTGAATGATAGTATTTAAAAACTGTATATATCACATCAACTATGTTTGTCGTATCTGTTATTTCCATTTAAGGAATATTGGCTCCATTCGCCACCTATTGACTGTTGACGCCACATCAGCTCTTGTGAGAGCTCTCATATTTTCGAGATTGGACTACTGCAATAGTCTCCTCGTTGGATGTTCCAAAGAAACTATATATAAACTGCAAAAAATTCAAAACACTGCCGCAAGAATCGTCACAAGAACCAGCTCGAAATCTCACATATCACCAGTATTGAGATCACTACACTAGATTCAAATAACGAAAAGAGTGGATTTCAAACTGTTGACCCTCATTTACAAAACTATCCATCATCAAGGTCCCGGCTATCTCAACGATCTCATTGCTGTGTATGAACCTGTAAGAGATCTCAGATCTGCTCATCAACTACAGCTTCAATTGCTGCCATACCGTATGAAAACGTTTGGATCACGATCATTCTAAATTGCTGCTGCACGCGAATGGAATTGTCTGCCATTAAACCTCAGGACCGTCCCAACACTTGATGCATTTAAAGCAAGCCTCAAGACTCATTTGTTCGAGAATTAGACTTTTCATCATGATGTACATATGTTTGTGTTAGCGCTTCGAGCATACTTTGTTGCGTGGAGATTAGCGCATTATAAGACTTCTCATTATTATTATTATTATATCAAATATTTAAGAAGGCACATTTGCGACATCCTTGAACATGGAAAATGGGGAAATCGACGTCCCGTTTCAATCAACGTGGAGACTGCTGTCCAGATTTTGGTCAGTTGCAGAGTATGTCTGTGATTGGTCAATTGGAGGGACATAGAAGGGAGGTAACTCGTTATAGCCACGATCGAGTAACGGAATTCAAGACGTGTTCTGCAAGGGTAACAACTGGACCTTTACAGTCAGGTAAAGCATTTGTCTCCGTGAGATAGTGGTACAGGGACAAATGTATTGTTGCTTATCACTCGGTGAAACCTACAGCGCAGTTTTGGGTCTATCTGGGTAATACCAGCCAAGCAAGACTTCCGTCACCATAATCTAATTAGTTTCATGATGCAATATGAAGAAATTTAGACTGAGAGCTTTTGTCAGAGATGAACTGACTGATATCATGCTGCTCTTGTGCAGATGATGCAACATTGATTGATGACACTGTGGTAGGCCTACAGAGAAAACGTGACACGTTAAACTGCTGTTGTAATACATGGGGTTAAGACGTTAACCTAGAGAATCATGTATTGCTATTTTTAGAAATGGTGGAGACCTGAGAAATACAGGAAAATGGACTGATGATGGTAAACAGATGCAAATCGTATCCGGCTCCAAATATTCAGGATTTGTGCTCACATCGAGATGAATTTGGTCAAAAGCGTGTGAAACATTTGCACTGCATGCCACAATGGCTTCATTTCCTATTCTTACCTTAATGGGGCGGTGGGATAGCCTAATGGTTAAAGCGTTCGCTCGTCACGCTGGAGACCCGGGTTCGATTCCCCACATGGGTACAATGCGTGAAACCCATTTCTGGTGTCCCCCGCCGTGATATTGCTGGAATATTGCTTAAAGCGGCGTAAAACCATACTCACTCTTATCGTCATGAAGGATTATCCAAATAATTCTCTAAATGTAACATCGATAAAATAGCTTACGTATTGTTATATGGATGGGGACTATGGGGTAAAAGGTCCAGTTTAAACTATACACAAAGAACTTAATTAAGCACCCTCTGTATGTTTACAGTGATAGGTTTTCAACACGAACATAAACCTTTTGTGGTGACCACGATGGAAAAATATGAGTTGTCTGACCGTATGATCCTTTGACTCACAACAACGACAAAATGATTAGAATCCAGGTTGATTTTATGAAGATAATTGCTTATTTACAAAAAAACAAAACCCACTGATTTTCATACAATATACCATGTAGGTACAAGTATGGCCCATCGAATGTTAATGTTGAATTTATTGGCGAATGTGAAAATGCGAAATGTCATTTTGCGTGTCTTACACGATTCAAGGTCAGTACCGAGTGTAACCTCCATGTGACAGCCAGCACTCTCCTGCTCAAACCACCTGTCAGCCTCCTGATCCTCTGAAGGGGCAATCTACACCATTCCTCGTGTAAAGCAGTTTCCAATTGGGCCAGGTTCTTTACAGGAGGATCCCTTTGCTGCACACGACGAAAAACCGTGTCCCAGACATGCTTCAATGTTTTACAATCGGGACTCAATCAGTCAGAGATATGTCAGGGGGTTCTTAACTAGGTCGTTTGTGTATATACTTATGCGTTAATAAAAAGGTATCTACCAATGCTGAACTTGGTAAAGTGGGTAGAGAATACTGGTGTGTTAATGTTTTAGTCGCTTTATGGAGTATTGGTACAGACTGTTGTATATGGATAGTTATCATATCCCACATCATGTTTTAATACGCTGAAGTCACAGGATGAATACAGCAGCCACCTATGGGTAACGCATGTTCGTGTACTGTGTTTAGAAACTGATTAACATATGTTTGGATCCACAGGATTGCAGCAATATATTAAAGTTATATACAGTGTTGTAAACAAAGTTGTAAAGACATAAAGATTCAGAATTGTCATGCGAAAACTGTTGCTTCATTTCTAAACCGTTATTCTACATCCAAGTAAATACTTGATCCAGAGAAATACATTATGGAGCTATGCCCAAATACAGACCTTATCCGAATATAAAGTAAATTAAGCTGTAAATAACTGTTACAATGACAAAGTGGGTTAAGGTTAAAGAGTAATAAACATAATAACAACACAATTAAAGATGAATAATATTTCCTCTTAGTTCCCCCACATTCTGAGGAAAGTAGAATGTACAGACCCAGGTACTATTACATTTGTCCATCACGAACAAAATGTAATCAAAGATTAGCAAAAACAAATGTGAAGCTTATTAAACACGTTTCGGTATATTTGAAAATAATCCTGCCCGTTTAATGTGTTATGAATATTGTATTAAGATAGCATTTGCTCCAGCTATCATTGTACCCATGCAGGATCTTACGTATTGTTCCCTTGCCATGCCACTTCAGATACAGAATAAACCTCTTGTACCTGTTGTTCTTGTGTTTGTGTCGTTATGTGAAGTTCTGATGTGTTGTACAGAGACAAACACGCACCTGGCGTTCTGCGTGCATCGTGTGAGAGTGGGAAGGATAGGACGTGCATGTGTTTACCATGTTTGTATGTTTCATGTATTTGAGATCGATGCTCAGGCTGTTGATCACTGGATTGTCTGGTCCAGACTCGATTATTTACACACCGCAGCCATATAGCTTGAATATTGCTGAGTTTGTCTTAAAGCTTAGATGCAACCCCCAAATGTTTTTAAAAAAATAAATAAATAAATACACATAATTAAAACACAATTATCATTTATTCATGGCATATAATATACATTGCTGATTATGGAAAAACAAATAAAGAAAATGCAATATTTTGTACTTGGGTTTACTTCCCTCGAAACGAAGCACCCGGGATATTGAACCCAGTCAGAGCGGGTGGGCGTGCACTTAAGTGTAACGAAGTCTTTCATTGGCCGCTTCATTTGCCGATAAACTCAGGGCTCTTTGTGTGTGTATAGAGATGTTGGGTTTTGTAAATACATGCTCATTTTTTGTGTATAACATTTTGCAATCAACAGACATCATAACATGTTATGTGTACTAGTATCACATAATTACATAATGTGACAGAGACAGAACTCAGGTGCACGAGCCATATATCAATGTGTTTTGTTTATGGTGTATAGCCTGATAGGTGTTAAGTTCACATTGCATGTAGTCATGATCAGTGATCGAAATTGTGTATTGCATATTGTCATCAGCAGACAGGCAAGCAGACACATAGGTGTCAATAAAACAGATTTTGAGTTTTGTCTGTGACAGGGGCATATCTGTAGTATCACAGGCATATCACAGTTAGAAATTCTGACAATGCTAAATAATGACACTGCTTTTAAGTATCGAACTGAGAAAGTGAGTCGGTAAGAAGAACGTGTGGTGAAATAGTCAAATGAAATTATATAAAAAGTTAAATCGGTAATATACTGTCATAACATATAATAAGCTCGCGCCTGTGAAATATCAACAAAACATCAGAAAAATAGCTCACATCAAAGCCTACTCCGAGTACTCACGGCCAGCGAAGGTTTTCCGTCTTGAAATGTCGAACGCCTCACTCGTTGACACATAGCTGAGTAGATCTACATCCTTAACAAGGTTATATTATGTAACGAGTAGATTATTTACTATTTGTTGTTTCGGTAGACAACCAAGATTAGACTACTCCTACTCACGACCTTATAATCCGGGCATCCCGCTTCAAGCTGCGCGAACCTATTCACTGTGCATGTGCTATGAGCGCAGTGCAGCACAGCTGTTGAAACCACTTTTCATCCCAGCTGGGTTTATTTTAATGAATCGTTTGAACTCCGATTTCGCGGGGTTTTTTTCATCGCATTATTTTTCAACTTTATAAGTTGAATTTGCATTCTTGATAATTTGTTACTGTAAGTCCATACCGAAAGGTATCAGAATCTGCAAAGTTGTGTTTTGCATTGCATGTAAGCTTTTAAACTAAACTCACTCACTCACCC